AGATATGTAGGTACAACCAGCCTTTCTTTGGGGACAAGTTAAAAGACTTTACCTGGGACAAAATCCTATCCTGACTTAAGTCAATTTGAATGCTGCCATTATCCTTAAAGGAGTCAGGAATTTACCCCAGATATTTTTAGTCTGTAATGCAGTTCTTCCCTCTCCTTGGGGAAGGTCTAGGTGAGGTGTGAAAGAGAAGCTTTAGCAATAAAATGCTTTCTGGTGTCAAAGAGGTTTGGTGCATGAGAGAAAAAATAAGCCCCTTTCCCCAGTACAGGCTGGCAGCAGCTGATGACATTCCTTTCACTAATGGATTTTTTTGTTTTTTGAAAGAGATAAAATATCCCTGCATCTGTTCTCTCTCTCTCTCCTTTCACATAGTGCTCAACAGTTGCCTTCTTTAAAGATGTCAAGTCTTACACTTGAAAATTATTTTACTAGCTCCAAGGCTCTACTTGCCTTTGGAAGAGGCAACACCTAACTACATTGACAAAGACTAATTTTGGAAACCTTCCAACAATAAACAGGTATCTTCCTTCTGTGTGTGTAAAGGGCCAATAATCGTACGCTGAAGGAATACTTTATATATTGCAATTCTACTGCTGCAAATGTACAGCCCCTAGAATGCCAAGTGACAGATAAAGGTTAAGCCAGTAGTGCCTGCCAGTATTTAGACGTCTAAAAATAAATAGGCATGGTCTTCCACATGCTAATGCCATGATATATCATTTTTTCCATACTTAGTGTGAACATGCACTGGAGAAGAAAGACAGGGGTACTCCAGGGAATGAGCAGAGACACTGTTCTGGATGCCTGCATTAGCTAATGGATCTAACAAGATCATTTTTAATTTGCATTTTATGAGATGACCTTGGAAAGCAGAAAACCTGCTATAGTCTAAACACAAGAGATGCAGCATTGCATAGGGATCGTCTCCATCAGCTTTTGCTCACTTGCAGTTGCTTGTATTCCAGCCCAGTGCTCTAACCACAGTGCCACAGGAGAGGCACTGATGTCGCCATTAACAAATTTATGCATCTGACACTTAAATGGCAAGTAAAGAGGGTGAAATTGGGCCCATTGAACTGGGAAAAAACAAATAAGGAATTTTTACCATTTACTTCAAGGCTAGAGACAGAAATTACACATAAACCAGTATAAGTGATCAGAAACCAGTTCAAATCTGTAACACAACACAAGTTCAGTGCACATAAACCATTTTCAAAATAGCTGAAACTGGTTTAGAATATACCTGGATGGATGTAGTGTTAAATTTAATTGATTTAGATTAAGTCAGTTTATTTTAACTTCTATCCCAGATCCCCTCCAGATTCAAATTAACTCTCAGTCCCCCAGCATCCAAGGATGCTTTGCACCTCCCACGCAAACCCCCTTCACAGGGTGGGCAGGCTAGCCTTGGCCCAAGCTGCCTGCTCCAGCTAAGCACGGAGGCCAGCTATAGTGACCCCTGGCTTCTGGCCTGAGCTACTGCAATCATGCAGATGCATTTCCAGAATCAAAAGTGAAGGTCTGTTCACTTGCTTATCAGTTCAATCTATGCAGCTTAGACTAAACTGAGAAGATTGAATCAATTCAGCCTCGGGCTTTTTGACACAGACAAGTGCAGGGTACTGCCTCTAGGAAGAAGGAACCAGCAACACACCTATAGGCTGAGGAACACCCCTCTTGTCAAAATAGTGACAGAAAAGGATCTTGTTGTCATTGTTGACTCCAGGATGAACATGAGCCGCCAATGCGAGGAAGTGGTCAGTAAGGCTAACCGTACCTTGTTGTGCATCTACAGATGCATCACAAGCAGGTCCAGGGAGGTGATCCTTCCCTTCTATGTGGCGTCGGACAGGCCAAAGTTGGAGTACTGCATCCAGTTCTGGGCGCCACACTTCAAGAGGGATGTGGCTAGCACTGAGAGGGTCCAGAGGAGGGCCATTCGCATGGTCGAGGGGCAGCAGGTCAGGCCCTACAAAGAGAGGCTAAAGGGCCTGAATCTATTCAGCCTCCACAAGAGAAGGCTGAGAGGGGATCTGGTGGCCATTTACAAACTTGCCGGGGGGACCAGTGGGAATAGGGGGAGGCTCTGTTCCCCCGGGCACCACCCAGGGTTCCTAGGAATAATGGCCACAAATTGTTAGAGAGAAGATTCAGGCTGAGTGAAACATGGAAGCTAGTTATTGAAAGGCCCTACTGGGTCATGTAGCTGAGGTCCCTATCAAGGTAGCATTACTTGCTATGTTATGCTTAATAGGTGTAATGCTGATATATTATTTGCTATGGCACATTTTGCCAATCCCATTTAAGATGTCTTAAATAACAGTGCTTCTACCATGTCAGCTAGAAGTCAATTAACAGCCTTACAGAAAAAGAGGACGGATAGTGATGTTTTTAAGCACAAAAGAAAAATATTGCTCTCTAATCCCTTGTTCCTTATCAAGTCTATATAAAGCTAAGGATGCTGTTTCCATATCTGTAAGTTTAACTAACACACCTTGC